AGTTATGAATAAATCAACCTCCAGCAGTCAGGTCTCCTCTTGTCACTATCCCATTTATTGATGAGATGCACAACTCTCCTAATTGAGGTGAATGTTCTTTTTTTGCTTTCAAACCACATTTGACAAGAAATTTAAGCTAGGTTTAATCTAAAAAAAACAAAAAAACAACAACAACAAATGAGTAGAGATGTTGACAACACATCTCATTACACATCAGAAAAGATTATGGAAAATGGATTGGAAAAAAAAACATGTCAGAAAATATTACATTGACTTGAGTTTTTTGCGGCCAGTGTGAACCCACTGTGCTGCCTTATCAACTGCATTTCAGTTCTGAATCACATTCCTTAAAAAGGCAGGCGCGGCAGTAAAAAGATTGTTTCACGTTAATAAGTTGAAATTTTTTCTTGTAAACTTTGAAAATATTTTGGCAGCGAGGACACTAAACTATAAAGTGTTTGAGGTGTTATTTTAGTCTCTTTTATTCCTGCAGACAGCCTAAATTTTTAAAACATGCCCACACATTCTCTACTGGGGGGCCGGTCAGGACTGCAGGAAGGCCAGTCCAGCACCACAACCCCCTTTATCTTCATCCTCACTGTTCTGGAGCACCCAGATGTGTGTTAATACAATATCAAAGAGAAAAGACAGCAATGATCTTAGAGAAGAAATTATGGCATCCAATTGATCTGGGAAGGGTTAAAGGTCATTTCCAAATTGTTTGGAGTCCAACAGTGAGAAATATTAATCACAAGTGAAAAACATTTCAGACAGTTACATACTCCCAAAGAGTGGACATTCCAGAAAAAATATCTTGAGTTCAGACTGTGTAATGACAATAGACAGAACATCTCCATCAGAGACTCCACAGGTCTCAGTTAGTAGGTTAAAGGTTAAAGTTCATCACAGGACATTAAAAAATAACAGAACAAGTTTGGTTTGTTTGGAACTGTTGCAAAAAAAGCCTCTTTTCTCTAAAAGAACATGGCGGCACGACTTTAGTTTGTGAAATTTTATCTGAATAAACCACAAGACTTCTGGAATAGGGCGGCATGATGGCTCAGGTGATAGAGCTGTTGCCTCACAGCGAGAAGGTCACCAGTTCAAATCCTGGCCTGGGACCTTTGTGGGTGGAGTTTGCATGTTCTCTCCGTGCATGCGTGGGTTTTCTCCTGTTTCCTCCCACAGACCAAAAACATGCATGTTAGTCTGATTGGTGACTCTAAATTGTCTCTAGATGTGAGTGAGAGAGTGAATGTTTGTTTGTCCCTGTGTCTCTGAGATGGACTGGAGACCTGTCCAGGGTGTCCCCCGCCTCTCACACAGTGACTGCTGGATATGGGCACCACTGACCCCCCTCAACCTGAAAAGTAAGCAGCAAGTAAAGATGATGGATGGACTTCTGGAATAAAATCTTTTGAACGGATGAGACCAAGGTAGAAATGTTTACCCATAATGCAAAGCACCATGTTTGGCAAAAAACAGCCCGTCTTAACTGGAGTTAGTAGGAGATCAGATCTCTCCAGTTTTAGCTTCTCTCCATTGGCTCCCTGTCAAATTCAGAATTGGATTCAAAATCTTACTTCTAACCTACAAAGCTCTCAACAACCTGGCTCCATCTTTTATTAGAGATCTTATTGTTCCATATTTTCCTAACAAAGCACTTCACTCTCAGACTACAGGCTTACTTGTGTTTCCTAGAGTTCCTAAATCAGAATGGGAGGAAGATCTTTCAGTTATCAGGCTCCTCTCTTGTGGAACCAACTTCCAGTTTCTGTCCATGAGGCTGACACATTGTTCAGTTTAAAGACTGGGATTAAGACTTTCCTTTTCGATAAATCCTATAGTTAGGGTTGGATTGTTATGCTGCTATAAGCTTAGACTACTGCTGAAGGACAATCTGACCTCATTTCCTCAAAAGAACAGTTACAAATTAATAATAAAAGAATAGTTTGTATTTGTAATTATTTCTATCTTAACGTTTCTTCTCTTTCCTCCTGTAGAGACCTGCTCGCCTCCATTTTGAACCTGCCATTCTCCATCTGCTTCTCCTTAAACCCAGCCGGTCAAAGCAGAGGGTCCTGAGCCTGGTTCTGCTGGAGGTTTCTTCCTGTTGAAAGGGAGTTTTTCCTTCCCACTGTTGCCTTTATGCTCGCTCAGGATGGGAGACTGCAACAAAGTGAAGATTCAAAGCCACTGCTTTCTTAGATAAATAACTTTTACTACAGTAATTGGCTTTTGTATGCATGTGCATGTTTCTGTTCAGAGCCCTGAGATGACTTCTGTTGTGACTTGGAGCTATAGAAATAAAAGGAATTGAATTGAATCATAGGGTGGGCTTCGTGTGTCACACACAACATTTCCATTGTGGTTTTGTGTGTTTTTGTACAACTGAGGTTAGATTAGAATTATTTTAAAGCTTGAAAGGTAAAACCCTAAAAACTGACAGTAGGTGGACATTACATTTTCCATGACTTGAAAAGAATGAGTCAAAATTTGATCTCTTGGGGCAAAAGTTTTGGTTGCTGCCCAAAATATGAAACGATCCATACACGCGTTACTTTTCATCTTTCATTTTTAGGCTTTGTAGTGGGATTGTAAGTCAACAGGGTCTGTGAAACACACTGTACTTTATGTGTGCAGTCGTTTTTTACTAGTCACGACAACAACTGGCACGACATGAGGGCGAGTGTCACTCTGCAGGATGTTTTGACACGTGAAGGAGACAGAAGATAGATCATCAGTCTGATGTTTACAGCACGTCCACACTAACCTGAAGCAGTCAGACCTAAGTGAACAGGACGACACGCTGTGGATATTGATGCTTGAAATATTGTGCAAAACCTCTAAAAACTAAACAGGCTTCTTCAGTTTAGAGCATCCTTCATGTGTGTGTGTGTGTGGGGGGGGGGGGGTAGAGAGGAAGTTCACCTCATGTGATTAACTGCTGGTTGCTAGGTGACCATCCTGGGTAAGAGCCGTTCACTTGCAGCCGTCTTCTCGAGCAGGCGGCGCCTGAGAGCAGCCTTCACATACCTCTGTATCCACCGCCGCCGCCATCCAAACCACCCTCTGTACACACAACCGGTTGCCATGGTGATTCCAGGGACATCTGACTCAAAATGACATGAGTCATAAATAAAAAAAGAAGGAAGCTTTTCTTCTTATATTGATAGATTGTATCAAAGTGTTGTTAAAGCAAAACAGAAAAGGCTAAAGGTTTAGGAGAGCTCAGACGTTTTGCTGCAGTAAAATGTCAAACATGAGCTAAAGTTCGGCTCATGAAGGAACTCTCTGAAACACAACTGTCAATATATTTTTATCCGCTTGCATCTATTTTCTGCTCCATCTCTGTCCTACTTTTCCATAAGACATGATCGGTGTTTCTGATGAACAAGAAGGTTGCTGGCTTGAAACCCAGCTGGGGGCCTTTCTGGGTGGAGTTTGCATGTTCTCTTCATGCATATGTGGGTTTTCTCTGGGTGCTCCAGTTTCCTCCCACAGACCAAAAACATGCATGTTAGACTGATTGGTAACTCTGAATTGCCCCTAGGTGTGAGTGAGAGCGTGGTTGTCTCTGTGTTGGACTGGAGACCTGTCCAAGCTGTCCCCCGACTCTTACACAGAGACTGCTGGAGACAGACTCCAGCTCCATGTGACCTGACAAGGACATGAGGGGGGAAATGGATGAACAAACATAAAGAATCATGTTAAGCTCAAGAGTGGAAACATTGTTCCCATTCTCCACCAGCTGACCCTAAAAAATGCTCAACTTGCCGGTGGTCTCCGCTTCCATCACCACCCTTCTGCTGCACCCACCACCACGGTTCAGTCCCTCTCAGCTCTGGTCCCATTTCAGGATGAAACATGGTCTCCATCCTAATTAACCCAGATGTGGATATTAATAAGATGAAAGCAGGTCTAGACTAGAAATGGGGCAGATGGAGAGAAGGTCCTGATTTCAGAATGGTCACGTTAGAGCTAAAGTAGGACACCTCGCCCCTCTGCCAGGGGAACGAAGTCAGTTTCTATATAAGCTGTACCTCCCGGCCTTTTAAATGGTCCCACCTCTCGTGAGGTATGAGAAGCTGAGAATATCTACAAAAAGGGGAGGGAGGGGGTTCACATGAATACAACCCAGAATTAGGGAACTAATTGAGACGTATATAAACTGTATGATTAGCTTTTTTTACTCACAAAAAGCTCAACTCTGCAGCTTGTGTGATAATGTTAAACATTTTAACATCGTTCATCTGTGCTGGTTCTCCTCCTACATAAAGATTCACACGTGGTGTAAATAAATGGGACTTTGACGGCGCTTCAGGACCGTAAATGTGTCGGGACACATCTAAAAGAGAGTTAAAAACCAGATAGTTCCTTGTGTAATAACAGGATTCTCCACAAGTTTGCGCCCTCAGATAAATAAAACCTTTTCGATTTGCCCTCATTGCAGCTCCTTACGCTGAGTGGGAGGCAGCGCTAAGACGCGGGAGGATCAGGAGACAGGCTGGGGACCAAACAGGAAGTGGTGATGAGCGCAGTCATGACTCAGTCAGCTGATTGTGTTCGTCCAACCTCCAACGTGTTGCGCCATCTTCTTCTAATGAGCTGCCAGAGAGTTCAAGAACGCTGGAAATAAACCAACTGGTTGCTAAACAGAAACCAGTTAACGCTACTCATTCGTGTCAAACTATGAGCTCAGACACAAAGGAGGCCCTGAGATGTATCACATGGTGCAGACTGAAGGAGTCGAGCACAGTAGTTTTACAGATATAGTGATACGATTGTGAAACAAGTGTAAAAGCTGGAGTGCAGAGACTGACCCACATTAAGCTGCTGCAGGTGAACTGGACGTCACCGACCTGCTTTCAGTCACTTCTGCTGTTTTCATATGTAAACAAACGCTCACTGTGGTGGGCGTTCAGTGATACCATTTGAATTTAATCGCACATTAATTAAAAATATGAAAAGAACATCAGTCGGATTTTATTTCTTACTTTATGAATTGTTTGAGCAGTTTTCTTGTCTTTGCTTTAAAACAAAATTGCTTGAATCTGGAAACAAATAGTTTTAAAACATTATATAAAAGCAAAAAATGTGCTTATTTTTGACATTATTTCAGCTGAGAATAGATAAATCCAAGGGAAGGAAGTGTGCGCAGTTGTTAGCACCACAGTGGCACACTTTCCTCTGAGCTCCAGGAGTCGTCACCACGTGTGCAGCAGCTGTGTGCTCTGCAGGCTGCCGGGTTCTGTATCCTCCTGAGTAATCGAAGGTCAGCTCCTCCTGAGCATTGATGTCATGTCCAGCAAACAGCGCCAGCCTTGGGATCACCGAGTGCACACGCACCGGCAGCATGAGCAGGTTGGGCTGGCAGGAGTGGTTCAGAAAACGGCCTACGTTCCCCTCCAGAGCGGGGTCCACGAACGTCTCGGTGATGGCGCCCGCTCCTGCGTGCTCCCTCACGGCGATGATGTAATTCATCTCCTCTGCAGTCTGGCTGAGCTGTCTGCGTTTGGCCTCTGCAAAACTGATCACCTCTCCTGCGTACTCGCACACAAACGTCCCACGTGGGATTTCCTCCAGTGTTCGAACCCCCCAGCCCTTGTTCCCGGTGCTGCAGACCTCCAACCTGAGCCTCAGCCCTCTCTGCACGACTCGGTTGGAGCAGGAGTCACCGCAGCTGCAGAGAGCGTTACACTCAAACACAGGAGAACAGTAGTCAGAGTCCAACCTGCCGAGGTTCAGCAGCGTGCCGGTGCTGTCGAACGCCTGCCCGTACGTCTGCAGGCAGGAGCAGCTCTCAGGGCGGCAGGAGCGGGTCAGGCAGGAACATCCAGGAAGAGTCACTTCACTGGGGCTCACAGAGCATCCTGGTCCTGGGACATTATCTGTGCAGTACTGAAAAACAACAGGAACATAAAGATGAGCAGCAGTGAAAGAGAGATGTGGAAATATCAAATATGAAATAAAACAGGGAAGTGATTAGAGCAGTCGCCTCTCAGTGAGAAGGTTGCAGGATCTCCTCCTGACCTGGGGCCTTTCTGGGTGGAGTTTAGATGTTCTCACCGGGAACATGTGGGTTTTCAACAGGAACTCGTGTTTCCTCCCACAAACCAAAAACATGCAGGTAAGATTCACTGGACAACTCTAAACTGAGAGTGAGAGTTTGTCTCTATGTGTCCCTGTGATGGACTAAAGACATGTCCAGGGTGTCCCCCACCTCTCACACAGTGACTGCTGAGCTAGGCACCAGCTCCCCAAGACCCAGAAAGAAGAACCGGGTAAAGATAACGGATGGACGGTTATAAAATAAAAGTCATTTATCTAAGACAAAATAAAATAATATTTGAAGAATTTGTTGATTTCCTTTTCTTTATTATTAAAGTGTATCTAAGTTCAGACTGTTGGTCAGACACCTGAAGACATTTATTTACATGGCATAAATAACTAGGGTCATAATAAATCTGCACGAGTGGCTAATCAAAATAAAAGCTACGCATGTTTTTCAAACAACTTAAGGGATAATTAAGCCCCTCCCCCCCCACCTCCTCCATCCAACCTGTGTATTCTCTAAAACAGCCTAGAAAATAGAGCAAGTGTAAAATAGGCCAGCCCAGATATCACTGACCCTCTACTGACTGATGGTGCTGCTGTGATCACCTGCTGCCCCCTGCTGGTCAAAGGCTGCACTTCACGCGATGCTGCTGAAACACTTATTCAAAATAAATAATTCATATGCAATCTTATTTTTTAATACTTACCAGTTTGCCCCAACACAGACACTTGATCTCAACAAATAAATAAATGACAGAAAATAAATGGATTTGAAAAACTCACATGATTGTAGTTTAAAAATAGTTACTTGCGCAGATAGTTTACTGGCTTGAAGATGTGGTGCGGTTGGTTTAAATATATTTTATTTGAGCAAAAATGAAAAAAAAATTTTTTTAAACTAGAACCATTCCCAGAGGAGCTTGTGAAAACCTGACGGAACAAGTGTCTGACAGAACAGCTCAGACTTGTTACACACAGAACTATGGGATGTTCCATCTTTCTTCCTCTCTCTAAAGAAATAAAACTGTTGTTTTCTCATTTAATTTCCTAACATTAGCTGAACACCATTTGCAACCAAGGCAGGCAGTTTGTGCTCCAGTTAGCAGATCAGCCGACGCATCAGCCCGAAGCTCCGCTCAGATCGAGAAGAGCGGTGTGTCCATTTTGACCACAACACTAAGTTGTGTTAACATCAAGGTTCAAAAGTTCTTTAATCTGCTCAATTTTATGAATCACAGACTGTTTTAAATTAGATAGCTTAGACTGGTTTGAACAAAGGAAGGCAAAACAACATTATTGTTTATTATCAACATTAATTGTGTTAAACTTTTGTTTTCCTCACTGTTTCTACTGTTATCACAAACCAGGGCTGGGCAATGAGGTTCTGCTGGATTGACAAAAAGAAAAAACACACCTAACGTGAATGTGCGGTACTCAAATGGTGATTTTTAGTCTTTTGTGATGTTGAACTAACAATTAAATCTTTACAGTGCAGCTCTTCCCTGATTTAATGTGAGCTTTTCTCCCACTGGCAAATATGTTGTTCCCCATTAAAGAGGCTCCTCGCTTCCTGCTCATCATCACTTCTACCCGAGTTGTCGCCCGGCTGGATGAAAAGGAACGCACCCAGATGTTTGAATATTGATTATAGTCCAATGTCGTTTCATTCTTACATCACCAACATGTCGGTCATCGCCTGCTTGGCTAAATCTGTCTTTATTTAATAGATCTTTTACATTTTTACAATCCAAACTGAGCACTGAGATCCTCCACTCAGATGATTATTTTAATCAGGGGTGCCCAAACTTTTTCTCTGAAAGGGCCAAATTTAAAATCTCTCAGAGGGCTACGGGCCAAATGCAATAATACAATACATGAAATGAAAATAATTCTTTAAGTAAAGTCCATTTATCTATTATACAGTTATTTAACCTTCCATTCTGTATAAAGAACATTACAGAATAGGCTGCATTGGTGGTGGTAGTGGGGGGTCTGAGGGTCCTCCCCCAGAGAAATTTGAATAAAGTAGATGCCATTTCCTGCATTTTGGTGTATTTTACAAAGGTTTATTACAGTAAATTAACATGAAACAAAACATGTAAACTGTTATTATTGAAATCTCTCTGACTGCAAAGCGTTCTTAAAGCAACACCGCTGCAGCTCTGCAGGTAAGGGATGTTCACTTCAGGACAAACTGAGGTCACTGACTGGTCAGTTGCTGACATACCTACTAGAATGATTGACAGGTGGCATGACTCGTGCAAAAAAAAAAGATTTTACTGGACTGTTGTCATTTATTCCATATTTATTCAACATTTATTCAATATTTTGGTGAATCTAAGGTTTGAAAACTGTTTCCTTACAAAATCCTAATGATAGTTTTTAAATTTTTCAGAGATGCTGAGTTGCTTGCAAACATATTTTTTGTATTCTATTGTATATAGTTATTTTGTTTTTAATGAAATTAATAAATTTCTAAAAAAAAATAAAGTTAAGGGTGCTCAAGAAGGGTGTGTGTGATGGGCACCTACATGATGCTCAGCCTTGTCAAAGGAAATGTTGTTCAGCAGCAAGAAACTGCTGAGAGACAGTATGAAGACTGTCAAAATAAAATACAAATTATTAAAAATTAAAAAAAATAATGCACAAATTAGTCATTCCAGCTGTGTAATGTCATTACATTAGTCACTGGGCCAACTTTCCATCTAACATTAAACTTGGAATGACCGAGTGTAACCAAATTAATTCTTCAAAGGAAATTTTAATATAGTAATAAAACGGGCCGAATCAAACGGCTTGGCAGGCCCCACTTTGGCCCACGGGCCCCACTTTGGGCACCCCTGCTTTAAATCCTGCCTAAAAACTCACTTTTTTTCTCTGGCTTTGAACTCATGTTTGGTCTGAGTTTGTTATTTTCTTGTTTTAGTTTGTTCTTAACCTTTTTAATTATACTTGTGAGTTTAATGTTTGATCATTAATTTATTTTATTGCTGAGTTTCCAGTTTGTGAAGCACTTTGGTCAACACTAATGTGCTGTATAAATAAATAAAATAGACACTGACATGTTTTAACCTGGGCAGCACGGTGGCGCAACTGGTAGAGCTGCTGCCTCTCAGCGAGAAGGTCCCTGGTTCAAATCCCGGTCCGAGGGCTTTTCTGGGTGGAGTTTGCATGTTCTCTCCGTGCATGCGTGGGTTTTCTCCGGGTACTCCAGTTTCCTCCCACAGACCAAAAACATGCATGTTAGGCTGATTGGTAACTCTAAATTGTCCCTAGGTGTGAGTGAGAGAGTGAATGGTTGTTTGTCTCGTTTGTCTCCATGTGTCCCTGTGATGGACTTGCGACCTGTCCAGGGTGTCCCCCGCCCCTCGCACAGTGATTGCTGGACATGGGCACTGTCGACCACCGTGACCCAAAATGGAACAAGCGGGTAAAGATAATGGATGGATGTTTTAATGTGTTCTCATACTGAATGGTTTAGATCAGGGGGGAGATCCTGGTCCTGGAGGGCCACCATGCTGTTTCCCTGCTCAGGTCCTGCAGCAGCCTGTTACTCACTCATTCATCTAAATCAGAGCAGAGAAACTCTTAAACATGAAGGATAGTGACCCTCAAAGATCAGGATTGGGCCCTACTGGCTCAAACAGTGTTCAGAAACACTTTATTAATCCCAAAGGGAAATTAATTGTTGTTGTAGCTCATCCTGGTTTCATTAGAGTTGTTATAGATGCTGATGGATGTTCAAGACAAAACAGAATAACATGAACCAATACAAACCAGCAGCTGCTTCAAAAACCTGACGATTAGAACACAAGGTTTAGTGTTAATGTAAGTTTTAAACGGACAAAATGAACATTGCAGAAGTGACGTTATTTTGACAAGTTCGTATTTTAATTTTGTGACAGCTAACAAACACTGGTGTGTCAGAGTTATTTCCACCTGCAGCTATCTGTCAGTCGCGGTAAAATACAGACAAAAATATTTACATTACCTTAAATTTAGGAAATGTCGGCCCTCTACATAAAACAGGGACATCCTCTAAGCCGTCACTCAAATCCAGACCATGCTCTTCGAGTCCGGTCATGTTTTCAACTGTAGTTAGCTCCAGTTAAACACAGGAGCTGCCACTTCCGCTGTTGTCATCGTCCACTGTCTCCCCCTGGCGATGAGATGAGGTCATTACACAGTCATGATTTTCAGTTTGGTGATCCTCTCTGTGGTTTTTCTTTATTTTTTATATACGTATACTTTTTCTTTCAACTTTTATTTAGACAGGTAAATCCCATTGAGCCTCGAGGACTCATTTACAAGAGAGACCTGATTTCAACAAAGAATGATGACAATGCACAACAGCGACAACAATAAACAGTAAAAAAAAAAAGTCAGACAGATTTTTTTTCCCCTTTTTTTAACAAATAGGATGGCTAAAAAAAGAAAAGTAAAAAAAAACAACAACAACAAAAAAAAAAAACAGCTAGATTCCAAGGTGAATGAGCCCCAGAGGGGACGTGGAGGATTTTTTATTTTATTTTGCATTCCCTCGCAATACTGTACTGTATGTAAAGTTACCTCACAGACTCAAACGTTCCTCCCTTTGTGTCCAGTCTCCCATACAACTCATCGTACGCCCTCTGCTTTTCATTAGCTACCTCCCTCTTTGCTCTGCATTGCATCTTCTTATATTCCTGTCTCCTCTCTTCAGTCATTGTCATATTTCTTCTTGGCTAACCTCTTTATTTGAATATCTTCCTGCACGTCACTATTCCACCACCTGGTTTCATTATCATCCATTCTCTGTCCAGATGACACATCAAGTACTTTCCTACCGGTTGCTGTAGTAGTCCAGTCATTTGGAAGCTCTTTCTTAACCACCCAGAGCCTTTAACAGCTCCTCTCTGAATTTCTCACAACATTCTTCCTTCTTCATCTTCCACCATTTGGTCTTCTTCTCTGATTTGACTATTTTTCTCTTTTTCACAACAACAGTCATTCTACACACAACCATCCAATGCTGTCTGGCCACGCTCGCCCCTGCCACAACCTTACAGTCTCCAATTTCTCTCAGGTTTCCTCTTTTACACAGAATGTAGTCGACCAGCGTACTCCTTACTCCACTCTGTTTTAGGACCTTTATTATTAGGCCCGAGCAGCAAAGCGCTGCGAAGGCCTATTGTAATTGTGTCGTTTATTATTATTATTATTATTATTATTAGGCCCGAGCAGCAAAGCGCTGCGAAGGCCTATTGTAATTGTGTCGTTTATTATTATTATTATTAGGCCCGAGCAGCAAAGCGCTGCGAAGGCCTATTGTAATTGTGTCGTTTATTATTATTAGGCCCGAGCAGCAAAGCGCTGCGAAGGCCTATTGTAATTGTGTCGTTTCTTATTATTATTTTTCTTGGGACTTTTGGGACGCATTTTTGGAGGCCTTAGCATATCCCAAAACTCACCAAACTTCACCAAAACTTGTCCCCCTAGTAAAATTTTTGAACTGTAATGGACCCAAAAGTGGGCGTGGCCAAACTGCTCCACAGCGCCCCCTAACGTGAGATATGAAAACTGGTAAGTCCTAGAGAGCTGAAATTTGGTACATAGGTAGAACCCACCGAATCAAGAAAAAAAGTCTCTTGGAGGTATGCCTTAAACCCAACAGGAAGTCGG